TATGGGGGTGTTGGTGGGGTTATTGGGAGTTCTGGACCTTTTTTTTTTTCTTTTTTTTTTTTCCCTTGCGGGGTGCCGCTGACCCTCTACTGGTAGGTGCCGACCAGCTGACCAGTGAAGGGGAGACGACCGTCAGGGCGTGCAACACTGCAGTAGGCATAAAACATGTACACAACCCAATATGCAGCAGTTTTCACCGGAACACAATGTACGGTCATCATGCCTGTATTTCGGGCAACGTTCAGTCTAGATACAGCAATGATGACCATACGTTCTATCCGAGGGACAATGGTAGCAAAAGTGTTTCTCTTCCACATAATAGAACATTTAGAGATAGGTGGTGCATACACTGCATCCAGAAATAGTGCAAGGCTTCAAGTCAGGCCCCACCGTTGCTGTGTTCATGATTGAACAGCATGAACACAGCCGAAATAGCGCCAAGGTTTGTACTTTCCTTGCATGATCATTCCGTCAGGTGCGCCCGATCCTAAGACACCTACACTACCGCCCGAATGGAACGCCCGGTCATTAGTAAAAAAAAAGGGAAAAAAAAGAAACAAGTCCGGCAATGTCACACTTTCGGTTTCGAAAGGGCGAAAAAAACACGTGTGGGCAACAACATCGGGTGTGGAGTTTGGAAAGGGCAATATCCGTAAAAATGGATGTGGCCCACGTGTGGTTTTGTTGCTCTTTTTAAAACTTGGCACCCAGGTAAAAATGCTTTTGTTGCCCTTTCAAACTCGGCATGTGAGTTTGTTGCCTGCGTGTGATTTTGCTGCCCTGTCCAAACTTGTTTGTGCCACAATCGAACTTACCCCCCAAAAAAATAAAATCCCTCGTTCGAGGGTATCAATGCTATCCCTATACACTAAGTTTGCAGCCAGGCTCCTGTCAATGCTTATATTGTTAATGAGACTCTGGAGTCTGGACCCAATTTCCAGCAGGTGCAGCTCCCCACCAATAGATCGGAGCCATTTATGCAGGAAGTCTACTATTGAAAACTGCTCATATCACCGCCCATAGGAGGCTTCCAACTATGTTTGTTTAAAAATAATAATAATAATAATAATGCCCAGTCCTTATTGCTGTATATCTACATTGAGAGTTGAACCAAATACAGCTATAATCACCAGGCTCCTCTATCTGGGCGAAGAAGGTCGTCTTTGTACCACTCGGTTAACAGGGACCTCGGTTTCCAGTGCTGCTTTTTTTCAGCCCACAATGCCGTCATGAGCGGCAGGGGGGGGGCTTGGGTTCCTTGCCAGACTGGCCTTCACGGCCATTTAACGGATAGTTCCATGGAAGATAGCACCGTGTAGCTCGGGTTTGAGGCTACGAGCTTGGGGTAGGTAATGTGGAAGGGCACAGAAGCACCAGAATGCCTATCCGAGCCGAATAGGAGGTTCGGTGGTTTTGTTTCCAGACCCAGACCGCTGATGGATGTAGGTACTAGCATAGGGTAGCATGGGATGGGAGGTACAGGAAGATGCAGAGCGCTGTACTGCCAAGCAGGAATTTTGAATTTTGACCCAGGCAGGAGGACGGACGGGGTTCTCGAGTTTCAATTACGAGAAATTTAGTGTAGCTCTGTGCATCCTTTCAGACTGGCGTGGCAGCGAGTGCGCAGCGGTGAAGCAACCGGGTTTTGGTAACGTTAGAGGTCCAGCGGGGTATCTAGGTTGCTCCCAGGCAGACGAGCTGATGACGTGATGGCGGTAGCAGATGTTATCAGCGGATAGCTTGCTTGATCCGAAGGTCATGACAGGGAGATGGGCTTGCGGTTGGGGGTGTCGGCCTCGAGCTGTGGAGGTACGTCGGGCCTTGCCTTTTGATCTCAGGTCGGGCGGGAGCACCCGCCCAATTTAAGCATATAA